ATATCTGTAAAGGAGCGCAACTACATATTATTCAGATGGATGCGAAAACATAAATCGGCGCCTCGCCCCCCTGTCCCCCAAAGGAAGGTACGTAAGGGTGACGGAGCGTAAGGGCGCGGTGAAGTATATGCGAAGGCATCATCGGGGCGCCACCCCCTCCAGACGGGGTTTTGACGCCCCCTCTGGTGCAGCACATAGGCGTTGCACGCGCTGCATACCCACTTTCTGCACCACTGACTTTACTTAAGTAAATTTAATAATGGATACTTTTTATTTTTACTCCACTACATTTTACAGTAAGTATCTGTACTTTCTACTTCACTACATTTCTACGTTACTCGTTATACCCAAGTCTCGTTGCGCTTTTTGTCCGTTAAAATGTGAAGTTCAGGAACTTAAGGTGGCGCCTTAAAATCCGAGCAATAACGTGACTTACGTGTCTGTTGTCACCCATCGCCTCCACCTTTACTCGCAGGCGGAGCTCCAAGACATGCGCAGTGGTTTCCTCTGAGCGGGAGAAGATGTCTGTCTGATCGTCAGCAATATAATAGCGCTGTATAAATCATAGATATGGCGACATGTAAAATAAGCAGCGCTTCGCTTTCACAAACGGTGGGGACTTCGTCCAACTTTTAGTGTCACTTCGAAGGAAAGCTTAAAGAAGGTAAGCTCTGTGGACGTGATGCTAGCGAAGCTAGCTGTACTGACTGAGACACATATGTTGCATCTGCAATGAAAAAAAGTTGTCACTCATGCACTGAATTATTGTGTGGAGGTGTTGACTGAGGTGTCGCAAATATGGGACAACGCTGTGACCAAAGTCTGCATTGATATGACATTGAGGAACGACCCGATTCTTCTGGACGGATCTTTACGGATTAAATTTATTTCAGCTGTAAGTATTTAATATCTAGGTGTTTTATGGGAATGTGGATCTTTCAGATCAATTTGAGAAGCAATTTTGATAGGTAAAACTTAATTTTTTTGTGTCACGTAGCGCCGGGTGCTGGTCTTGACTACAACTCTGCTACGTGGCTCCTTGGTTCCATGTCCTCCCCCACCCACCTTCTTTCCATCCCCTTTCTGTTGGATTTCTTTAAAAATAAAAGCCACTAGTGGCAAAAAAAAAATAAGTGAAGTCCATGCTATGTTAGGACAGGAGACAAGATGTTTCCATCCCTGAAATTATGATGCATAGAATCACATATCTAAGTTTAAACTATGTTACAGAGTAAATGTAATAAAAACATGCTTTATCTGTGGCATTGTTCATTAAAATGGCACATTTCTAATGTATTAAAATTAAATATGATCGGTTCATTTAATGATATTGTATTAGGGATTAGGTAATGCATTCAGCAAGTACTTTTACTTTTAATACTTAAGTATTTTTAAAAGCCAGTACTTTTTTACTTTTACTTAAGTACAAATGTTAATGTGGTAGTTTTACTTTTACTTGAGTACATTTTTGTCTGTGTATTTGTACTTTTACTTACATACATTTTTTGAGTACCTTCTCCACCACTGATATATATATATATATATATATATATATATATATATATATATATATATATATATATATATATATATATAAGAAAGTCACAAGTCAGAACAGTATTGCCTTATTAAATTTTGAACGTGAACTACTAACATACCAGTCAGGATAAAAGCAATGTGTCAAGAGACACAAAAAATGTTTAGCAACAATCCATTAAATTATTCCTTCTGATTAGTTGCTTATGTATTGTCCTGCCCTCTCCTCCCTTCCTCTCACTTTTCTTACTTTTGATTCTTCTGAACCTCGTTTGTGAGGATCCCGTGTCTGTAAACAGAAGGAAAATTTCACAAATGTGTAAGAAATACTTTGGTTGCAGGAAGTAATATTAACTGATCATTGACAAACAAAAAAGATAAAACAATGTGAATGTTATCCATTTAGAGCATAATTAAATACAGGAATACACTTTTTTGTATAAACTCTACCTAACATAGTAACTTCTACATTAAGAGTAAAAGGTGCATAATAATTAGCATGCAAAAATTCTGCACACTAATAGTTGCCCAATATTCGTGCACATGTAGATAGTGTCCTAAGAAAGCCATTTTCACTTTTACTTTGTTAAATACTCAGGTTTGAGAGATTATGAACATTTTGGATTGACAGTGAATATTATTTCAATAATGTCCCTTATTAGGCCCATATCTCTAAGGAAGGTTTTTAATGTGTTCAATCTGCAGCCGTAATAAGTGGCAATGTACATCAAACGAGTGGTTTTCATCATTAAATGAACTTTTAAGACCCATACAAATCAAACTAAAACATATTAGATATTAGTTTGGTTTGTAATCATAGAGTCCTGTGGTCAGTGTCACAGAGCTAATCCATGCTACAACCCTTTTGCAAAAATTTAAGGCTCTAAATAAAAACAAGTTTAATGAGTAAGCCCACTTCATTAAACATCGATGTATTGTAATGGCTCTCAATACAAGTAATGTGTTATTTAAATTGTAATTTTTTAAGTTGCTTTATTTTAAAACCTTTTTTGGTTTATAGCCCGAGAACCTACAGTATGTAGAAATAATAAATATATGGGAAGTATCATAACTTAAACTCAACGTTCAAAGCACCCAGGTTTTCCTAGAAAAATATTTATATTTGCCATTAGCCAATTGATAATGGCAGAAGAGATTACACTCTCTGTAATAGACTTATCGAAGATCTGTAACACTAACGGAGTTGTTCGTTTTATTTTACACTGATCAGATTGGCCAATTTGAATCAATCTTACTGGTTGATATCTCACTAGATCCATTAAGTCAGTAAGTTTAGTTATAGGCTAAACTTCATAAAATTTAGTCTATAACAAAATTTTATGAAGTGTCAAAATAAAGCAGGGTCGAAACATTTATGGTTTCAGAACCGTTTACATTTATTGTATGTTCTTGCAGTTTAAAGCCATGTTATTCCTGTTATTTGGTTTTCCTCAGTTGTCTCTAAAAAGAGGCATTGATGACAGCTGTATTCACACTTAAGTGTTTTTTTTAAACTTAAGATAAATTCTTAAGGTGCTGATAGTGTGATCTGGAACCGAAATTTGTTTTGTCTACTTTTTCTTAGTTTGCTCCTTTTTAATATGTCTCCAACAATTTTAGGTCTGTTACTCTTAGCTGTATGACTAACTGATTGATCACAGTTGTCAATAAAAATGTAAATCTGAGAAAAGTGAATCCTTATATGTGGAATAAGACAAAACAGTGCCTCCAACACACTCTCACCCCTCCTGCCTTCAGCAGTTTTCTTCGAAAGTCCTCTGTTGGGTTGTTGAATGTCAGCTTTTCACAGCGGAGATGATTGACAGGCGGATGTCCCTCAAGGTGGAGGAACAGGTCATAATCAAAGCGAACTTTCTTCGGTTCTTCCTAAGAAAAGTGCCAGCCACCAATATGGGGGGAAAGACAAAGGAAATAGCTTAATATTGCTGTTGAAACATCAAGAAACATCATCGAGAAACATCACTATATGTGTCACTTCTTGCATATATTCAGTGAGATCACCTTGGATAATGATTTTCATTTTGATTATTTTCTTCAGTTGCAGGTTTTAATAAATCAAATTTCCTATTTGAAGTATTTCATGTAAACTTCCTTTAATTTATGAGTAACACTGGCTATTGGGTAATATAGCTCACTGTGAAAAGTCACATTTCTTCAAGAATGATGTCAACCTTCTGACAGATGAATAGTGTACCACCAAGATGGCATACAGATATAGGAAATCTAAAACAATAGCTGTTTTTATAATTTTGAATCTGTATTTTCTCATAATAATTAATGCTCTTAACCAGACTGAAATGTGCTTCATTGGTTACTGTCTCTTAATATTACCAGGTGTTAATAAATCCAGTAACTGTTGGGAACCTCTGTCACCAACCGTGGAACACAAGAAGAGCCGCCTGCTGGTTCTTTGAAGCCAGAGTGTTTGCCAATGTGGCAACTCCAGCCTCTCAGATTTTCGTCTGAAGCCTTATGAGTTCAGAGCTCAACTACTTCTGTGTTCTGCTCTATTAGGTATGCTTTGACTCGGGATTCCACTCAGATCATGGTTTCCTCCCTCTTGTTCCAAGCTACCCCCTACTGCGGTCTATGCCCCAAAGCAGCCTCAGCTTACTACCGCTCCATCGCTGCCCCTCCCTAGCGGGTCGCCTGCCCGCACGAGTAAGTGCCACCGGCATTATCAGGCCTCAGCATGCCTGCTGGACTCACGCCTCTCCTTTGTCCCCAGTGTTCCAAGCCAGCCTTCCAGTGTGGGTGTGTTCCTGTCCTGGACTCCCTCATTATTACACTTTTAACTTCTTGTAAATTAATCTAAAGGAACTGTTCTGATCTCCTCATGGTGTTTCTGCAAGTGGGTTAAACAAATTCCCAAAAGCATGACGGAACACTCCGGCCAATATCACCCAGTAGATGCCCTCAGGAGAACGATGCCGGAACAACATTCGCTAATCCAGTCTCCTGATTCCGTACTTACAACCCTCGGCGACAAGAGGCCACTAATCAACACCTGGAGCAGGTCGCTCAACGACTGCTAAGATTGCAGCTTGAAGAACTAGGCTTCCTTGACATAGCCCCGAGAAATTCTCTGGTGATGCAGGTTGCTGCGGAGGATTCCTCCTCCAATGCTTGCTTATTTTTAACTGCTCCCCGCATTGCTTCCCACATGATGATGCCAAGATTTCATTTATTCTTGGGCTTCTATCTGGGAAGGCACTAAGATGGGCTGAGGCACGCTTCACTGACTATTGCAGTTTTGGCTGCACTTATAAGCAATTTATTGAAGTGTTTAAATCAATTTTTAACAAAGATGCTGATCAAGCAGGCGTATCCTGCCGACTGTGATTCTTGAGGCAGGGGCAAAGATCAATTGCAGAGTTTTCCATTGAATTTCGTACCCTGGCTGCAGCCTCAGGCTGGAATTCCTGCACGTTAAAGAGCGCCTTCTTTTATGCTCTCAGCGAGCCCATAAAGGATGACGACCCTGAGTCATTAAATGAGCTAATAACTCTAGCGACCCTTCTGGATAACTGTCTCAAGGAAAGAAGGATGCAAAGGAACACAAGGGCCTTGGCTTGACCTCTTGTCCTACTACCTCCCAGAGCACCTGTACACAGGCTGCCAAGCTCCCCATCACCAGACCCAGAGCCGATGCAGATAGGCCAAACCCGCTTCTCTCCGGAGGAGTGGCAGCGAAGAATGGATGCCAGCCAGTGCATATACTGTGGCACCACGGGCCATTTCATTGCATCCTGCTCAATTTGCCCAAAACCCCAGGCCCGACGGTCAGACTGGGGAAACTGACGGGTCCCATACTTCATTCTTCTGCTCCCTGTTCTTTGCTTCCCGCTGTCCTGCAGTTTAATAATGACTCGCTCCCCCTCACTGCGCTTATAGATTCGGGTTGCAGAATCTAATAGATCAATCTCTTGTCACCCAAGCAAATTTGGAGACAGTACCTTTGTTGGCACCGGTTAAAGCCCCCGCCCTCGATGGGTGCATGCTGCCCAAGATTACGCATAAGACCAAGCCCCTTCAGCAAATCGTCTCGGGTAATCACCATGAGTCTATTTCATTTTATGTTTTCTCATCATCCCAGACTCCAGTTGTCCTAGGCTTTAGTTGACTCCAGCAGCACAACCCACACATAAACTGGTCTGAGCTTCGCATAGAATCATGGTCTTCACATTGTCTCTCCTCCTGTTTGCAGTCTGCCATCCCTCCAAGTCTCGCCCCCGTGGTCCTTAATGAGGCAGACCCCATCGATTTGACAGGTATCCCTGAGGTTTACCACAATCTCAAGGTCTTCAGCAAGGACAAGGCTCTTTCTCCCGCTCGCCCCCCCACAACTCCCCACCACCGCCCTTACTGCGCCATAGACCTCTTGCCTGGAGTACCTCTTCCATCCAGCCATTTATATAACATCTCATGTCCTGAACACCAAGCTATGGAAAGACATATAAACGAGTCGATCACTGCCGGTATAATCCGCCACTCATCTTCTCCATTGGGAGTGGGCTTCTTCTTTGTCAGCAAGAAGAACGGTTCCCTCCGACCTTGTATAGATTATAGAGGCCTAAATCGCATCAAAGGGTAAATACCAATTCCACTTATCTCCTCAGAATTCAAACCGGTCCAAGAGGCCACCATCTTCACCAAACTCAATCTCTGTAATGCCTACCACCTGATCCGCATCCGCCAAGGAGATGAGAGTGGTAGACAGCGTTAAGAGCCCACCACTGGCTGAGGGGCACAAAGCAACCAGTACTAGTTTGGACTGACCAAAAGAACCTCTCCTATGTACAAGCAGATAAATGTCTGAACTTTCATCAGTCTTGGTGGTCTCCGTTTTTCTCCCAGTTTAACTTATCCATCCCCTACCGCCCAGGTTCTAAGAACACCAAGCCCGATCCCCTGTCCCGCCAGTACTCTCCAGATGGTTCCAAGAAGCTACCCACTCCCATTCTACTTCCCAGCTGCAATGTAGGCTACCTCACCTGGGAAATTGTGGAGGTGGTCAACCAAGAACTTCAGGAAGAGCCTGACCCTGGTAACGGTCCACCAGACAGAACTTGCGTCCCATCCACAGTTTGTGCTTGTCTCATCCACTGGTTTCACACCGCCCAGTTTGCGGCGCATCTTGGCATTAGCCTCACCATTTCGCTCATCTCCCGCTGGTTTTGGTGGCCATCACTACATAAGGATGTTAAGGAATATGTCAACACCTGTCACATCTGCGCCCGTAGCAAGCCGTCTCACCAACCTCCCACAGGGCTCCTCCAGCCACTTCAGATCCCTAAGAAAACCTGGTCGCAAATTGCCCTCGACTTCGTCACTGGCCTCCCGCCGTCTAAAGGTATGATAGCCATTCTCACCGTCATTCATAGCTTTTCTAAGGCATGTCATCTTCTTCCACTCAGAAAGCTCCCGTCCGCCTTCCAGACAGCCCAGCTCCTGGTCCGCCTCCATGGCATCCCTACTGAAGTTCTGTCTGACCGCGGTCCCCAGTTTATTTCTCAGGTGTGGCAGCGGTTCTGTCTGGCTGTAAATGCTAAATTCTCACTTATTCTTGGTCACCACCCCCAGTCCAACGGCCAAGCAGAGCGCATGAACCAGGAGCTGGAGTCCACCCTCAGATGTCTGACCTACACCAACCCGTCAGACTGGAGTAAGTTCCTCCCGTGGGTTGAATACGCCCACAACTCACATGTCTCCACAGATACCAGTCTCTCCCCATTCAAAGTGACACTGGGCTACCAACCTCCACTTTTTTCAGCAGATGAAAGGGACATTTCGGTCACCTCCATCCGTCACCACATCTGCCGTTGCAGGCGCATCTGGTCTGACGCTGTAGCTGCCCTACAACGCACGGTGTAACAGAACCGACGCTTCGCCAACTGCAAGCGCATCCGAGCACCTCGATTCTGCCCTGGTCAGCAGGTATGGCTTTCTTCTCATGACATTCCCTTTAAATCCTTCTCCAAGAAGCTGGCTCCTAGATACATCGGCCTCTACACCATTGAATCAGTTATCAGCCCAACCGCTGTCCGTCTCAGTCTACCGGCCAGCCTCCGTGTCCACCCCACGTTCCACGTCTTTCAGGTATAGCCGGTTCAATCTTTGCTGATCTTATATACACTATAATTAAAACTACTCTCTTAAACACATTGATCCCTCATGGGGGACAGTGTATATCTTCCTACATTATAGTTCTTAAAGACAAATCAGAATAGGCAGATGAAAGCTTTACCAGATCTGAAGATCAGGAATCAGCAGCAAAGTTCTGACCAGTGGATCTCTAAAAGTTTAACCCAGATTTAGAATACCCCTCACCCCTCAATTCTCCCTGCCACTAACTATTACATATAGCACCATGGTAAATCAGGGCACAATTGAAACATAATAATACTTGGGTGCTGACTCTGGAGCAGTATGCAAATACTTTATTCATTAGAGCAGTGTTTTTCAACCACTGTTCCGCGGCACACTAGTGTGCCATGAGTGATCGTTAGGTGTGCCGTGGAAATTATTCAACTTCACCTATGGTATCGTATTTTCCGGACTATAAGCTGCTACTTTTTTCCTAAACTTTGAACCATGCGGATTGTAGCCCGGTGCGGCTTTTCTGTGTATTTTTCTTCAACCACCAGGGGGCTCTCTAGCAGGAAGTGAATCATTAGAAGTCAAAATTGTAAATCAAAGAAGAACGCGTTGATTTTCATTTAGAACAACCACATGCTAGCAGCAGGCACGACGGAGAAATGTTTTCAAACTCATATGATGCAGCCTTTAAGTTGAGGGCTGTCGAGCTGCCACTACAGGAGGGAAATAGAGCCGCTGCACGTAAACTCGGTGTGAACGAAACCATGGTTAGTAGTGGCTAGCGGCGTAATCATGTAATTTTCTTACCACTTACAGAGCATTTTACA